ATGAGATGATTTTAAGTAGCACACGAACATTTTTTTTTAAAGATTTTATTGGGGAATTGGGGGAGGGAAACAGTGTTGGAGAATTGGGGAAGGGGATCAACCAAGTTGTTGTTCTTCAATCTTCGTTGTGGAGGGTGCCAGTCACCATCTGGCTTCCCGTCAGCAGCTCATTACCGCTAAGCTCAAGGTGCTGTGTTCAATCTTAGTTGTGGGTGGGCGTAGCCACCATCCCACGTGGGAGTCGAACCCGGCAGCCTTGTTGTTAAGAGCACATGCCCTACCCACTGAGCCATCCATGCAGCAGCTAAGCTTAAGGTGCCAAGTTCAGTCTTAGTTGCGGGTGGGCATAGCCCACCATTGGACAGGCAACTGTTACATCAGCTGAGCCATCCTGCCACCTGTTGGCAGCTCAGCGACAGCTCAGCTTGGGCACAGCATCACTGGCCCATGTGGGAATTGAACCGGCGGCCCTGCTGCTCAGAGGTCACACTCTTAAGCCAACTCTTAACCAACTGAACCACTCGTTCGGCCTGAACATTTTTTTTTAATGGCTCTGCATTTATTTTGCTGTTTTAGAAAAAATATAACCAGTATACCAAATTGAAGATTCCACAGATATTACTGCTTAAGACAAGTCTAAAAATATTTAAGTGAATTAAAGTTAAAGAAAAAAATTTAGTAATGAAACTGTACAGATGGCCCACAGATATGGCAAAAATCAACAAGCCTAATTAGGAATGCTTGAAATCTGGGAAATGCCAGAACAATGTATGTGAGTGACAATGCTCTTACACTGTATAGCTCTTTACAAACATGAACAATTATTACTAAAAAAAAAAAAAAGTTCTCTCTTCCTTGAAGTTAGTGGTGAGTTTGAAGTTTAACTCTCCCATAATCTCCACTGGTCCCCGTTCCCACATTCTTTGTTCTTGGCAATGAATGTTTTCTCAGTTTTATTGAAAGTGTTATGTGATGCAAACTGTTTCAAGTCTCCCCTACCTCCTTCCAACCAGATATGTTGCTTTGAAGCCCCTTCACTGTTAGAAATTCTGAAGCCACCTCTGTGCGTAAGTCAGTATCTGAAGCCTCAAGTTCTCCACCTGGCCTCGAGACCACTGGTCAAGGGATTTTCAAGTTGCAGACCAGAAGGACAATGAGAGCATTGAGGTGTAAGGTCGCATGGAAGAGCTGTGTGTGAGGCTGAACATGGAGAAAGCCACACCCACCTGTCCACGGTGTTGAGTGTGTGTGTGTGTATACCCAAGGGCTTACTGAGGAGGGGCTGAGGGAAAATGAGGAGTGAAGATGGTAGATGTGCTCTAGCTACTGCAGAGGCCCATTGCGTATTAAGAAGCTCTGAGGCTGAAACACAAAGACTCACTGTCCTTAGGACACCTTGTTTTTTTCCACCTGATTCATCTGTACAGAAATGAATACGTGCAAAACACCTCTGGGCCCAGCCCAGGGGATCTCTGGGGTCTCTTATTTCTCAGGAATTGAGAGGGCTTGACCAACTCAGTGGGCTCACCTTGGCAGACACTCTACCGAGGCCCAGCAATGAGAGAACTAAATCTGCACTAGGCTAGGGAGCTTGGGGTCCCTACACAGCTCTGAAAAGGCAAATACCTGAAGGTCACTCCCTGCTTGATGCCAGAGTATTCCAGAAAACCCTTCATGAGTCCTGGGCCTGGAGCCAGAATCTACCAAAAGGTTTGAATGGACGAAAACTGACATCAGCTCCTGCTTCTGGGACCTGCCCAGAGCACACACCCCTCTCAGAGGTGAGGGAGCCAGCCTCTTTCAAGAGGATCTCTACTCATGGCTGAGATGCTAGGTCTCCATCCATTTAGAGGAATCTGTCTCTGGAAGGATATGTCATCTGAGTGAACACAAATCAGGAATCTGAGTCTGCCAGGCCAAAGGCCAAATCTGAGCAGGGGTCAATTCACCATCTTGGTGACACCCCTTATGAGGAATTCCAGGATGATGATGATGATGATGATGATAGTAATCATAATAATAGCAACACTTTACTGAGCACTTACTGTGTGCTAGGAGCTGTGCTCAAAATTTTTGCAGAGATGATCTCACTTAATTTTTATGACCCTGTGAGTCAAGC